TCAGCTCTCAAAGAAATTAAGGCAAACGAAACCGTTATTGACACCAAAAACAATCAAATCACTTTATATGAAGAAAGGATTTCCAGACTAAAAAAAAGAATCGAAGAATTATTTCACCTCAGAAAAATATCGCCTAATCAAATAGAAATGGCCAATCCTACTCCACTGAGAATACCAGGATCACCGAGAATGGATAATACCCCCAGGACGTTTAGTTCCGTCAGCCAATCAATTAGAAATAAATTAGGCAGAAATCATGCGGTTGAACATGCGTTAGACGAATTAACTCAGTTTTATAATCAATCTCAAGCTGATTTAGCGATGGAAAGAGATAACACCCGAATTGCTATCGATGACGCTATGAGCTGGCAAAACACTACCGCATATATATTGGATAACGTGGGGAAAAGACATAAAAATGAAAAATTAATGCGCACATTCTGGCAAGTCTATTATGAAAAAAATACAGCCCGGTTATTATCGCAAATTTTCGCTCTCAAGATTCTTTGTAATAACTATAAAAATAAAGCCCAACCGCGCGCTATTTTATATGGGAAATACAATAAATGGAAAAATAGGACAAGAGCTAAGCACGCTAAATATAACAAGTGGAAGCTTAGAACGAGGCTAGTCCGCGATGCTAATTTAGAATTGGAAGACCGAATTAATTTTTTAAATCAGAGAATTTTGGATTTACAAAATAATATACCGCAGAATCATAATAACAATCAAAACATGGCATTACAACCACTACCATTACCAAATTTTTCCGGTGAATATGATGAGGATGTTGATATTTTTATTAGTCGATTATCGTCATATCTAGCTGGCAACGGGTATAAATCCAGTTGGAGCTCGAGATCAAGCATTTGGTATTCTTCGGGGATGTTTATCTGGGCGAGCATTAGAATGGTTTGATCGAAAAATTCTTGGTAAGCGTTGGGAACTTCATAATATTTTTGCAAATCATGGCCAGGCTGGTATGGCTAATCTCCGGGGTCGCACTATGGCACAAATGAATGCTAGCAATAGTTTTAGAAACCCTTCAATCGCTCATGACTATGCAAATATTGCTGGTAATAATGCGGTAACAGTAGGAGTCTCAATGATTCCAGCTGAAGCTTTTACTGAAGATTGGCGCTTAGCTGGGGGACAACCATCAGATAGACCTGTTAATGCAATAAATGCTGGTAACAACAACCCAATAGTATTTGAAGATATTCGAATCGGTCAATATTGGCTTAGAACTCAATATCCTACAGTAATTAGTGAGAAACGCAATTTAGTTTATGGATCGTTAGTTCAGGGGAGTGAACCTATAGGAGATTTTTACTCAAAACTCTTAAAATATGGGAAAATGCTTAATCTTGACGAGCAACAGATTAAGGGTCAATTTCTACGAGGTCTATCTCCAGACTTGGAGGACGATGCAGAGCGCATAGGTACTGAACAGCCATTAGCTGATCTTTTTGAAATTTTGGAACGGATTGAAATGCGGAGAGCAGAGAAAAAATTAGGATTGGTTACTAAAATACCCCAGTCTGGTTATAAATCGTCAACTAAATCTCATGGTAAAGATAATTACTCAAGCAACACAGGTATGACCAAAGATGAAATAGAAAACTTCGTAAAATCTATCATGGCATCCACACAATCTCAACCTGTCTCCCAAACTATCTCTTCTAAACCTCAGGAGAACCAGATCACGCTTTCACAGAATGAATTCAAAAATTTATAGCGGGTTTGAAAGGAACTATTGCTAAAGGACAGCAAACTTTGAAAAAACCCCCTGGACCAGGTAAACAAAAAGCGGATGATCTTGCTATGAATCGTTTTTTAGAAAGTTTAATGGGTGATTCAGGTTTATCTGAAGAGGCATATAACCATGATCCGGTTGAAGATTTGAGATTACAGTTTGAGGAAATGGAAATTAACCAAGCAAAATTAATAAATGCAGTTAAAAAATTATCTCAATACAGATGCTCAAAATGTGGCAAAACCAGTCATAATTCTCGCAACTGCTCTAAA